AATCGCCAACATGTTTGACCTCGAAACTTTCCGAAAATTGAACGACGAATTGAAATACGAGCTGTATAAAAACTTGATCGAAAATGTTACTTACTTTATCGAATGATCGAAAACTTAACTGTATCAACGAAAGATGAAGAAAAAGGAAACAAATTTATTGATCTAGAAAAGTTTAAAAACACGGGCAATTCGAAAATTGCAGAAAACAAACTTGAAAATGAATGGAGCAAGATTGAAACTCGGAGCAGAAATCAGAACAAACGAAGCAAAAATAACCAAGAAAGCAAGAATAACCATGAAATCAAAATACAAGCAACCAAAATTCAAGAAGAAAAATTCGACCAACAACGAAAACATTTATTTTTACCACGAGAAGAAGAATTTTCTGGCCTCTTATTGGGAGACTCAATTGTTAACAGAATCAATGGGGAACAAATATCGAAAAATGTGTTGGCGAGAGGATTTGGTAGGCACACAATTTCTGCATTGCTGGAACGCGTGAGAAATAGTAAATCGCGACATTTTAAACATGTAACTACGCTAATTGGAATAAATGACTGCCTCTCAAATGATTTTGACGCGAAGGAAGCCGTGAGTAGCTTAAAAAAACTAATTTATCTCGTAAATCATAAATTCTCCCCAAAAACAATTTCACTATGTACTGTAACTCCCTAAGGCGCTTTTAGAAAAGACTTTAATCCAATTGTACAGAAGCTAAAAAAGCAAATTTTTAATTTAGTACGGATGTAAAGGACTTGGGCGAAGTAAAATTGGATAATTTAGACAAAAACAAAATTTTAGTCAAAATACCGATGCGCTTAGCTCGGATGGTTTGCATCCTTCTGATGGGGGTTTTGAAATTTTGTTGCAAAGCTTTAGAGATTCTTGTAGAGGTTCTGATATTAATGCAAACACACGTGAGATTACAACCCGCCCCAGAATGAAGCAAACCCAACAATCATCAAATTTAGATCCAAAAACGGCAGAAATGATACAATTTTTCCAAAACGGTGCAAAATTTTTTAGGAAATACAAGTTTCGCATTTTTTCTTGGTGCAAACTTTGGCGATTATTTAATTTATTATGCTGAATATTAAATTCTGGTTGTTTTGTGCAATTTTTCTAATTTCCAAGGCTCAGATGGAAAATATAGAAAACACCATTGTTTACTGGGGCTATCTAAGCTGCAATCAAAAGATATTAACATCGAAATGTGGGATAAATGAGCGGAGAGCTACCACACTGACTCATCTTTTCCTTCTTGCGTTGTTACTAACCCAAAGTGGGGATGTTGAAAAAAACCCTTGTCCTATTGAAACCATTGAAACAGTCTACGGCATCTGCTCAAAAAATTGTGCAAATCTTAAATTTGTTCATTTGAATTTTCAAAGAACTATTAGAAAACGGATGCAATTGAAATTTTTTTTTGATGATATGGGCGAAAATAAAAATATAGGAATTTCCGAAACGTGGCTTAAAAAAGCAGATAGTGACAATTTATGGATTCTCCACCCTAGAACGCATGCGATGTTCAGATATGATAGGCAATCAGCGGTAAAAAAGAAAGGCGGTGACGTTTTGTTATATATACCAGTCAAATTGGCTCCGAAATTGAGGCCTGATTTAAATTTATTTGATAAAGAAAAATATGATTCAGTGTGGGTTGAAAGCAAATCTACATTCAACATTTTCAGTAAAGAAAAAATGTTAGTTAATTTGTATTATAATCCAAGCAGATCAAACTATATTGACTTTTTGGAACAATTAACGCTTAACATAAATAATGCATTTTCAGTTTCTAATAAAATTACGGTTCTGGGTGATTATAACATAAATTATCTGGATAGCAAAGAAAAAGAAAATTTAGATTCTATAATTATTCCATATGGATTGAAGGTTTTTTGTCCAAACGATGAGACCAGAATTAGTTCCTCAACTAAAACTCAAATCGACTACATTATCAGTGACTATGAAACAAACGGCATTGAATTTTGTTTTGATACATCTTAAACACGACCATTTTGCTTCATTTATTATGACGGATATAAAATGCGGCAAAAGTTTACCGAGGATAATTTCGACTTTCAATAAGAAAAATTATCAGAAAAATGAATTTTGCATTACACTCTCAGCTCTTCCTTCGTATCTTTTATATCAATGTACAGACGCACAAAACATGTTCTCGACGATGATTTATTTAATTTTTAGTGCTCTTCAGCAACATGCTCCTATCGAAAAAAAAATTGTTCGTAATTTTAAACCAAAAAATGTGTTGAAAACGGAATGGTTCAATTCAGAATGTCAGCAATTGTTGATTAAGAAACAGAATTCACTCAGATCATATCGCAGTCAAAGGACAAGCGATAACTGGTCAAAGTACCAGTTTTTACGTAATCAAATGAGCCAATTGATTAGAAAATAACTCGATCATTCAAAAAACTGTTTTTCACTTCTCAGCACTATCCAACAAAAATGGAAATATATTAACCAAGTTAGAGGTTCATGTTCTGGCAACAATCGAATTACAGTTCTACGAAATTCCTTCAGTGAAATGATAACCCAAGACCAAAAAATTGCCAATCATTTAAATTATGTTTTTTTAAACTTAGGCGAATTTTTCGGCGTTAAAAAGCCTTTGAATTACCAGAAATCTGCCTCTGAATCTGCGCCTTTCCATTTTCAACACATTACAGTGAAGCAATGTTTTGATATAGTTCGAAAAATCAATGTCAGAAAACCTCTCGGACCTTGTACCGTACCTGCTTGGGCAATCCTTGACGGTCAATCAGTTATAGTTCCACATTTAACTTTTGTCATAAATAATTGCTTAGATGAGAACATTTTCCCGATCGAACTGAAAAAAGCACACGTAACCCCTTTGTTTAAAAAAGATGACCCAATGGATGCAAAAAATTACCGGCCAATATCAATAACTTGTGCTTTTTCTAAAATTTTTGAAAAAATTTTGCATGCCCAAATTACAGAACATCTTGACAAATTTCAAATAATGACACCATTTCAATTCGGATTTCGCAAAAACAATTCAACACAAGATGCTCTTGTTTTTGTGACAGAAAGTGTTCGAAATCAAATAGACTCAAAAAAATTGTACATGCAGCTTTATTAGATCTGTCCAAGGCTTTTGATTCTATTTCGCATGAAGTTTTAATTGAAAAAATGCTTTCTCTCGGTTTTTCAAATGGAGCAAATGCTTTAATTGCTAGCTTCCTAAACAAACGTATTCAATGAGTAAACGTCAATGGATTCTTTTCAGACTGGATTGAAATCAAACGAGGTGTTCCACAAGGAACGGTACTTGGTCCGTAGTTGTTCAATTTATATGTTAATGACATACAAGAGCGATTATATGAAGGTTGTACTTTAGTTCAATATGCTGACAACTGTATGTTTTTTTCTTCTTCTATAATTTCTGAGGATGCTTTGAATCGATTGCAAAAATCGCTCAATGATCAAACGGAGTTTTTTTGCAGAGAACCAATTGAATCTGAATGCATCTAAATCGGAATTTATAACATTTTGTGAAAAAAATGATTGCAAATATTTAGGACTTATTCTTGAATAAAGTTTATCTTTTCATGCTCAAATCAAAACAATTCTCCAAAAAATGGTACAAGGAATTAAAACTATAGATACAATTGGACAACAACTGCCGACATTATCATTAGTTGCCTTGCTTCATTGTCTTGTTTTATCACATTTAGAATATTCAGCATTGTTTTAAATACAAATTAATGCTACTTTGATGCTATCTCTAGATAAACAGTTGAACTGGGCGTTAAAAAGAACATATTTCAGATCGAAATTTAAATCGTCTTCCCTTCTTCGCATTAGTAAATCGTTAATTGGAATCGAGAAAAGAATTGAGTTAAAGTGAATAACATACTTATACCAATATCTTACAAACAAAAAGAAGGCTTTTCAAAATACATTGAGACTACCGACTGCCAATTATAGGCTCAACAAAAGAACGAAACAAATTATTTTTGACAAACATTGTTCAACCGTTTCCCTACAAAAATCATTTTTTCATTTGACTTCTAAAAAATGGAACTCACTGCCCATAATTTTGCGCAATTTAGAAAAATCGAGAACAGGATTCAAAAAAAAATTGAAAGAATTTTACGTGAGTGAATTGAGAAACAATCCAATATGTACAAATACAAATACGTGGCGTGATTTCCGTTTTTGCTAGTTCTATATGTTTTAATTTAGTTTATTTTTTCACACATTGTATTGTTTGAAAGAGAATCTGTATATACTCTGTAGATAAGCTGTATGTTAGGATTATCAGTAAAATTTTTTGTAAAGTTTTAATACCAGCTCGTTCTTAATTCTTAAAACTGATGTTTTTTTAGTATCCGTAACTTCATATATTTTAATCAACCAATTTCTGAACTGTAACCGAACATGTTTTGTTTTAATTTGTTTTGTTTATTGCTTGTTTTCTGATGTTGTATTTTTGTTTGATGTAACCAAAGAATATTAACCAACTTTATTATTTACACTTTGCTATACTGATGCCTCGGCTTTTATTGTATAGTCATTCAGGTGTTCTTTCTTCTTCTTCTTCAAGAGCTTATAGCTTTGCCATTTTCAAGCTACTCGTAATTGCTTCTCCAAAAAAGTTTTAGAAATAAAATGTCATTTGATAATTGAATTCTGCTTCTTACACCATTGATAACCCACAATTTTTACCTAATTTTTTGTTAGTTTCTAATTTCTGAAAATGTTCCTAATTTTTTTACCATTGTATTTTAAAAAAAATTCTTATACGTTTCCTGTGGAGTGACTTGACCATAGAATCTCTACCAGTTTATCGCGGCTAAGACTTTTTTGGATTTTTCCTCTGGGTAGTTAGTTTTTGGGGATTACTGTCTTGCGTAGTCTGAGCTCAGAAAAGATTGATGTGAAAAAATGGTCTTTTTTTATTTTGTAGTCTTTTTTTACTGATAAAAAGTTAATTAGCCTTTAGCCTAATTGTTGTAATAAACTTATTAAATAGATTTGTTATGTTTGATGTTTGTGCCTGTATGTGGAGCGCCCTCTGAGGCATTTTAGACACAGGTCTGTAAAGTGGCTTTCTATGGGGAGGTGGGAAACTGGAACTGGCTTGAGGAGTCTGGTGGTGCACCGCTGGACCTACTGAGCTCGGGTGAGATTGTTCCTTGTTTTTGATTTTTATAATCCGATTTTAAAATTTAAATTAATTTAGTTGTCTTTTTTTTATTTGCTGATTTGTAAAATTCCCACTAACCGCTTATCATGGGTTAGTTCAGTCCACTAAAGTCCAGTCAAAATCTTTTTTTTTTACCTTTATGCTGCGTCAAGATGAGGAAAAACAACAAAGAATGTACAAGCAAAGATTGCTTAAAACCTTCAGGACTGATAAATTGAATTAGATGTGATTGTTGTTCTAGTTGGTATCATATCAATTGTGTAAATATTTCTCTTAGCGAATCTAAGAAAACCCAATGGTTTCAGTGTCTTTTATGCGTTGATGTAAAATCTGTTAATAAAGCAACAATAGGTAATGATTTAGTGCTGGACAATTATGTTAATACAGCCATCTCAAACGTCCGAGTACTCAAGAGAGTACCAAAAGACTCGCGTGTTCCCTTGGCGGAAAGTCTGTCGGACAAAATAAATGACATCGTCTACAATGTAGAAGATGTTACAAAATGGCTAATTTTTTTAACGTCGTTCTTGTTTTTTTTTGAAGCAACCGAAAAGAAGTGGAGGCAAACAAACCACAAGCTTGAGTTCTTTGATAAAGAAAAAAATTCAAGCAAATGACGTGTCACTTCCAAAACCCCATCCCGAAGTTTCAAGCCCGCCTCTGAGTGACCTCGAAGATAATAAAGTTAATAAGTAGTAAGCTCGATGAAGGAAATGTAAGGGGAGGAATAAGGCTTGCTGCTTCGGATGACAAAATAGCTCCATTTTCAACTGATAACTATCAAAAATTGTTGTCTAAGCACCCGCAGCGAGCCAAATTTGCAGCTCCAAATCCAGAAAAGTTAGATAGTTTTTTCGTAACCGATTTCGACCTATACAAAGCGATAATGTCCTTTCCAAACGGATCAGCAGCAGTTCCTGATAAAATAGTTCCTCAAATTTTTAAAGATATTGTTAGTAAGTCGAGTGGCAGTGCAGGACTTAATTTTCTGAAATCGCTTACTAAGCTGATAAACCTCATTGGAGATGGCAAAATACCCGAACCACTCATAAAGATAGACGGAGGGTTGAGACCGATTGCCATAGGCAACACGCTGAGACGTATCGCGTCTGATTGCGCTGGAAGCAAGGCGCTCTCCGAGCGACAAAATTTCTTCGGAAACGTACAGTTAGGATGCGGTACCAAACGAGGAGCAGAAATAGCTGCGCACTCGTTTCGAAACCTGATTGAACGCGACGACAATCCAAAATGCACTGTTCTTTTAAAGCTAGATTTTAAGAATGCCTTTAACTCTTTAAACAGAGAAACAATGCTGAATCATGTTTATTCAAATCGCCCCCAATTGTATAATTACACCCATTGCGCTTATGGTAAACCTAGTTACCTTTTTTAATGAAGATCTGTCATAATGTCAAAAGACGGAACTAAGCAAGGTGATCCTGAAGCCTCACCCTTTCTTGCGGAAACAATTCATACACTAGTCAAACGGTTGGAGTCGAAAATTAACATCTAGATGGGAATTTAGCCGACGACTATCAGGTAGTACTACGGGACCTTAAAAACATTCTGAAATCGGAACAAATTTACAGCCTGAGCTTAAACACTGAGAAGTGTGAACTTTGTTTTTTGGGACCGACTACCAGTACACAGTATAATTCAATTTTAACACAATTTCGAAAAATATGCCCCAAAATAAAAATAAAAAAAAAGAAGAACTCCTCCTTTTAGGATCTCCAATCGGCGAACTTTGCCGAAAAAAATTGCTCGACGAAACAATTAAGGAGCTTGAAAAAATCGCGGATGTCATTGACAAACTAGACGCCCATTATGGTTTTTACCTCCTAAAAAATTGCTTTAGAATGCCAAAACTCCTATATTTTTGCGTACGAGCCCTTGTTTTTTGCAAAATGGTTTTTTGGAACGCTACGATAAATTACTAAGAGTTCGTTATGCAAGGTCACTAACGTGAAAATGGATGTTAACCAGTTTTTACAAGCAGTTCTCCCGGCAGCCAAAGGTGGCTTGGGCGTTTCTTCCGCTCGTCTACTCGCTTTACCCGCTTTCTTAGCCTCGAAAGATGCCTTGAGCAAAATTTTTGGTTTGGAGCGTGTGAAAGGAACCTATGATGATGCGCTTAAACGGTGGTTTGACCTTGGAAAAATTGAAATGGCTCCGGGAAACGAAATCCAAAAAAATTGGACGGAGCCAATTTTTGACTGCGAAATTGCAAACTTGATTTTACGACTCGAACCAACGGACGTAAAAAGGTTCAACGCGTTCCAAGATAGATGTTATCCATACGGATACAGTACATACCGATATGAACTGTTATCCATTCGGATATACTAGAACTATGCTTATCTAAAACATTACATCCATCCCAAGTGCTAACCATATATACTTATGTAACACTATGTAAACTGAACTATATAGAAGTCTGATCTAAATTAAGTACCTATTAAACCTAACACCATATTCAATAGTTATTTATGAGTCTCTGTCTCTCTCATGATTTCGAGGTCAGATTCGAATCAGACTTAACTTTCTAAACTGAATTTAAGTTGCTCTCAATCTCTTCGTATTCCAATTCTTAGTTAGCGATTAAGCATAGACTTCGACTATCGAGATTACACAGTATATACCTCACCTAACGGCTGAGGGTATAACAATAGATTTGGCTCCCAATGGTTGAACGTCATCCCGTGCAAAAATTTAAGGTTAAAACTGTCGAACCAACAACTCAGAATTGCAATAGGACTTCAATTAGGATCAAAAATATGCGAACGGCACAAATGCGTGTGCGGAAAAGACGTTACCGAGGATGGTTGGCATGGTCTTTCTTGCCTCAAAAGTGCAGAGAGATTCTCTAGGCATTCAAACATGAATGACCTTATAAAGCAGAGTCTATCATCTACTCACATTCCGTCTGTTTTAGAACCACGACACCTCTACAGGACCGATCAGAAGCGATCAGACGTTTTGACGCTCGTTCCATGGGCTGATGGTAAGCAGCTCTTGTGGGATGTAACGGTAGTAGACTCCTTAGCTCCTTATAGGATTAATGCCGGGTCTGTTTGTAACCCTGGTACGTCTGCCGCTGAAGCGGAAGAGCGAAAAATTGAAAAGTATAAAGATCTTGTAATTGGTGGATATCTTTTGCAACCGCTAGCTTTTGAAATTCTGGGCGCGGCCGGCCCCAGCACAGAAGTTTTTTTGAGCAAGCTTTGTAAGAACCTAAGCATATGCACTGAGGAACCCAGAGCAGGCAGCTTTTTAAAACAGAGAATCTCCCTGGCAATACAGATTGCGAACGCCGCTTGCGTACTCGGAACAATAAATGACAAAATAACTTTCGACGAAATTTTTTACTTGTAACACTTGTGTATTATATTATCTCGTGTCGAGTTGCGTGTTCTTATTGAAGAAACGTAACCCGTATCGATTTAAATTGAAAAGGACTTAAACACTTGTCATCTTCTTTTATCATTATCATTTCCATATCTAAAAAATTCCAAGGATTTTGACTGGAATACATGATGAAGGGACTCATGACTGTAACCTCGGTTACTATGATACTTTTGACCTTCTGATTACCACATTTTTCATTGATATGAATATTGACTTGAATATAACCGGGAAATCTATTTTTTTGATTTATATATATAGTTTTAAGCTCTAGTACGTGCTGTTTATTATAGTATATTCGGGAATGACAAAACTCTCAGAGTTTGACTCATTGCTTTTTTGGTTACTGAAATCGACCTGTTTTCTTGTTTTTTTTTGGCAGATGAACTGGTGAATATCTCTATCAGTTTTCTACAACCTTCCTACTGATTTTAAAGTTCGTATGTCATATTGTAAGCAATTGATTTGCTATTTTAATTGAACTTTCTGAAACTCTTGTGACCAGTTGACGTTTTGTCTAACATTTATTCTAGATTAGTATTTAAGAATCGATTGAAAACACATAAATTAATCAAAGAAAAACTTTTTAAATCAAAGTAGGAACTCTTTTGCCTTTCATTTCAGACAAAAAATTTGTTTTCATTTTTTTTCGTTATGGTTTATCTTTATTTGATCAGTAGAAATAATCAAGATTAGTAGGATTAATCAAGGACCAGTAAGAACCTGATCAGTTGGAAATAGCCACCAGTATAGCAAATACAACAGATGCTATTATATTTCTAATTCACTGTCGGTAAATGTGCCACCAAATGAGCAATTCCAATCAAGCCAACTGACCCGTTTTGAGGATTTAATTTCGGTTCAAAAATTTATTTTGCTTAAAAGGTGTTGGCAAAAAACTCTATAATTTTTATCTCCATTTTTTCGAATTCAACCAAAATTATGTAAGATGAGCTTGATTAATTTGTGTTGGTTATTTTTATCCGATTCTTTCAAACCAGTACAGAACAAGCTTGTTCAGCACAAAATGCCTTGAAGAACCAATAAACTGCCAAAACGCGCGTGAACAAGATACAACTATATCTATCTATCTATACTATATTTAAATGCGAGTGACAGCTATCTCCCATGTTTCAGCATAATAATTTTGCATGTTTAACGAAAGAGTTTTTTTCATGTTTAAGCTATATCATATATTGCAATGTTTAAGAAAATTTTTCAATTAGTTTTCCGCAAGTTCATTAATTTTCAGTAATTTTTTGCGAGGTCAAATTAAGTCTGTCTGTCTGTATACCTGCTTTTTAGTTAATTTGATTATGTCTGTCTACCCGTCTCCTAATTTTTTTAAAAATTTCATCTATGTATCTATTATATATTTAAATGCGGGCTCCACTATCTCACCTTCTTAGGCTTTTTCAACATATGATGTTTAACGAAAGAGTTTTTTCACGTTTAGGCTATATCGTATATTGCTATGGTTACGGTTTTTTCCGATTTTTCAGTTTAAATTCAGTGTCATATAGCTTTGTAGTCAGGCTGTTGCGTGGTTGTTTTAATTTAATCTATTATATATTTAAATGCGGGCTTCACTATCTCGCCATGTTTAAGCTTTTTCAACAAAATATTTTCGCATGTTTAACAAAAGAATTTTCTCACGTTTAACTTTTATCATATATTGCAATGGTTTTTTTTTCGATTTTCCCGTTTAAATTCAGTGTTTATTGTTTGAAGTTCCAGTTTCATCAAGTTGGAAATTAGCAACCCAGTAGTAGGATATTGTCGGAGTTTTCCCAGGTTTTGCAATTCTGGTCTCCATATATGAATAACCAAATCCATTTAGTTAACGAGATAGGCCATTTTCGAAATTTTTCAAAAATTTCTAGAAAATTAAATTTTAAATAGCTTCTCAGTTTTTGAAATTCCCAACCCTGTAGTTGGGTACTCTCAGAGTACTATCAAGGATTGCGATTCTTACCTCCAAATATGACTGCTCATTTCTTTGTAGTTTTCGAGATGTGATGTTTTTTGTGATATTTTCAATATTTTTAAGACTTAAATTAATTTTTTTTTCTCAAAATCTGAAATTCCCAGCCTGGTAGTTGGGTACTGTCAGAGTACTATGAAGGATTGCGAATCTTGCCTCCAAATATGACTGCTCAAATCCTAATAGTTTTCGAGGTATGATGTTTTTTTTTTTATTTTTTTTTCAAAAGTTTTCAGAAAATTTTAATTAATTTTTCTCAAAATTTGAAATTCCCAACCTTGTAGTTGGGTGCTGTCAGGGTACTCTAAAGAGTGGCAAATCTTGTCAAATGCGACTGCTCAAATGCTTTTAGTTTCCGAGATGTGACGTTTTTTGATTTTTTCAAAATTTTTCAAAGAACTTATCTACAAAGAGTTTCAAACAATTTGATACTACCAACCCGATGAAGATACAACCTTATTGCCAGCGTACACCCTGGCGCTCTAATCTTGCCTCTTAAAATTAATGCTTAAATTATTTTAGTTTCCGAGATAAGACGTTTTTTTCATTTTTTTGGGGAAACTTAGGTTTAACAAAATCACAAATTTTTGAATCCGAATCCTATAGTAGGGTGCTCTCAGTGGTTTCAAATCTCCAGAGGCCCATTAAGTTTTCGAGATGACGATTTTAAAATGGGAATAAAAAAATTAAAAAGTTAGAAATTACCAACTCTGTAATTGGGTGCAGTCAGAGTACACAAAAATTTGCAGATGTTGTTTCCAATATATGCGGTTTTTCATGAGTTGTCAAAAAATTTCGAAGCACCGGAGGTGCGTTAAACGCTAGTTTAATATTAATAGCACTCGATTTTTGGGTGGACTCGGCCGAAGTGGTTTACACCAACGTGAAGTAAATAAATATAATATCAGCAAATATATTACATAACATGACCGTTGGACATAACTAACGAATTATAGAAAGTTCCATTGAAAGTTGGAGAAAGTTCATACTATTAATGTCAACGACATTACATTCAGTGTTTGTTTCATCAAGTTTGAAATTAGCTACCTAATAGTGGGATGTTGTCAGAGTTTTTCCCAGGTACTGCGATTCTGGCCTCCATATATGAATAACCAAATCCTTTTAGTTTACGAAATAGGGAATTTTCGAAATTTTTCAAAAATTTCTAGAAAAATAAATTTTAAATAATTTCTCAGTTTTTGAAATTCTTACCCTGTAGTTGGTTGCTGTCAGGGTACTCTCAGGGATTGCGAATCTTGCCTCCAAATCACTTCTCAAATCCTTGTAGTTTTCGAGATATGACGTTTTTTTATGGTTTTTTCAAAAATTTTTCAAAAACTTAGATTTTGAAAAATTCCAAAATGTTGAAAATCTCGTTTCTGTTGTTGGATTTTGTGAGGGTACTCTCAGAATTTGCGAATCTTGCCTTTGATTATGGCTGCTCAAATCGTTGTAGTTTTCGAGATATGACGTTTTTTAGGGTTTTCTCAAAATTTTTCGGAGAACTTAAATATAAAAATTTTGACAAAACTTGAAATTACCATTTATTTCGTGAGGATCTGGCTGGGTACTCTCAGAAGTTTCGAATATTGGCTCCAAATGTGATTGCTCAAAACCTTGCAGTTTTCCAGATATGACGTTTTTTTTTTTGTGATTTCAAAAAATTTTCATGAAAATTAAGTTAATTTTTTGTCAAAGATTGAAATTCCTAACCTGTAGTTGGGGATCAGTCAGAGTAATCTCAGGGTTTGCAATTTCGGCCTCCAATTGAGAATGCCCAAAACTTTTTAGGTTGAAGAGATAATACGATTTATTTTGAAATTTTCATAAACTCAAATTACAAAATGATTGACTAAAGTGAAATTCCCAACCATGTAGTTGTATGGTGTCCGAGTACTTTCAAAAATTGCCATTTAATAAAACTGCTAAAATCTTGGTAGATTTTGAGATGTGAAATTCGTTCTGGGTCTCAAAAAATACCTTTTTTTAGAAAACTTAAGGTTAAGTTGTAGTTGGGTGCTATAAGAGTACTCTCAAAGTTTGCAAATCTTGCGTCCAAATGCGACTGCTCAATTGCTTTTAGTTTCCCAGATGTGACGTTTCTTTGTTCGTTTCAAATTTTCCGAGGAACTTATATAAAACTTCACAAAATTTAATGGTTCTTCAAAATTTGAATAAAAAACTTTGCAAAATTTGTAATTACGAACCTTTTAATTGGTTTGTGCCAGAGTACACTCAAAGAATGCAGATCTTGTTTTCAATATATGCGGTTTATTATGAGTACCGGATAAGCGTTTTACGCTAGTCGAGTTGCTAAATATATGTTAGGGATTCGTCAATTTTTTGATGCCTAGTGCAAAAAGATTCACTACAATAGCCCTTAAATTTTTGAAATGGAAGATGATTTAAAGAGAAAAGTTTGTTTTGAAAACACCTGGCAATTTTGAACATAAATCAAACAAAAAATACTTTGTTTATGGTCTTTCTTAAGATTGTAAGAAGTAAAAAATTTAGAATTTTGTATCAGAATTTCTTTAGTTTTTATTAATTTAACGCAATGAAAGTACGAAGTTAAATGTTTTGCGTCTGATAACACAACAAAAACAGCAAATTTCTCATCTCAGGTCTTTCAAATATTTTAAATTGCTACTGACACTTTTTTTGATAAGAAGTTTACTCGTCAAAAAAGTCCCAATTTCGATTGATTTTAATTTCAAAACAAAAATCACAGTTTAAATACGTTTTGTTTTGGTGTTGAGCCCTGAGCATGAATATCTTTCAAACTATATTGATAAATTTTGTCAAAGTTTTCTGAGTGAAAACTCAAATTTGGAAGAACTTAAAACCAGAAAAACAGAGTTTAAAACTAAAGTTTGATTTTTTTCGAAGACTATTTCATAGCTTGAATTGCTCAGCAAAAGTAAGTTATAAGAAGGTATTGCTCCGCAATAAGGTTAATTGTTTCAAAAACATAATCAAGTCATGAGACTATGAAAATTTTCAAGTTATTTTATAGAGGTAATCGATTCGCAAAACTAAGTTTTTTGAGCAAGCTATCAAAGCGTCAAAAAATTTGCACAATTCGATCAAAACAAATAATTTCTTATTTCAAGAAAACATTGTCGAATAAACCTAAGTTGAATTCTCTCAAGAAATTTATTGAGGTAATAAATTTTTGAATTTTGCTACGTTATTTTCTCGAACGAATCCGTTTGCAAGAAACTCAATTGTTTCTTAGCAAGCTATCAAATCAGTGAAGCTTCAAAATATTCGAGGTATTTACTAGAACGAAATTGAACACAAATTAAGTTTTGTGATGCAAAATATCGAAGCCGTGATGTTCGATATGATTCAAGTTATATCTTAGACAGAATCAGTATGCGAGAAGTTCACGTTTTCTATACAAGTTGTTCAAGCAAGGAATTTATGACCACTTTCAGTTACTTCTTAAAAAAAGAATCGGTTCCAAAAAAATTAAAATATTTCTAAGCAAGCTAATGAAGCGATGATACTTGAAAATATTTCGAAATTTTTGCCATGGCTTGGATTGCTTCATAAAATATTCAAATTTGTTCAAGAAAGCTAATGAAGCGGTGAAACTTTGAACTACTTTGAACATAGCCTGTTCAAATGTTATAAGTGTTAATAACAAAATGTTATAAGTGTTAGTAGTAAAAACGTGTTTCATCTTAAAATTTGCTAGCGATACAATTTTTGCTTCGAATTTAAATAATTTTAGCAAAAACTTCAATAGTTTTTTGGTTTTCTTGAACTGTTGGATGTGTTTTAGGTTGTTCTACGAGTAAACCTCACTAAAATATCCGTTTCAGAACCAGATATATGTCATTGTAATGAACATTTATCGCCTGTTCATATTTGTTTTTTGCTGCAATTATCTACATGCCGGGTAAGCATGACTGTTACTGCTTGAAATAGCTCTTATTGTTACAAAAGGTCCTAGAACTATAGATAAAAAAGTTAAGGGAACAAGAAAAAATGGTCCATATTGGTTGCGCATTTTTTATGCATTGATTTTTTTCAAAAAAAATGACGGGCATTCATCGTTCATATTTTCTTCTTGCATTGGCCCATCTATCATACTTGTAATCTTAAAACGTTTTCTTCAAAATTTAGGCGAGATTTCTACAAAATCCTTGGCGTGGAGAAAAAAGCGAAGGTCAATGAAATAAAGAGGGCCTTCCGGAAACTTGCTCAGAAATATCATCCTGATAAGAACCCAGATGATCCTCAAGCTAATGAAAAGTTTCAAGAATTGAGTGCGGCATATGAGGTAAGTTAAGAATAGCTAAATTGGATCAATTAAACACAAACAAAATGTTATAGGTGCGTTGGTTGTCCCGGTCGGTAGCTTGGTAGAAAAAAAATCATATAGCGAGGATAGCCGATTGTTGCGCAAGATTATTTCAAAGTATTTTCCCTTTTTTGGGCTATGGAAGGGGTCCAGTTTGATTAGCATCCACGAGAATGAGACGATAATAACAAATATTAGATTAAAATGTAGTTCAATTAGTTGTTCAGAATTTTACTATGTTACTGATTTGAAGCCTTTTAAGCTGTGGTTCAGTATGAATGTAAAAATCAAACAAAATTTTGTCGGACAAAAGTGAATTAGACCTTTTACCTGTTCAGGTTATGCAGATTGGATTGACGTGATATGATGTAATTAGAAAATATTTCGTGAATGCGATTTCGCAAATAAAAGTGCTCGTTTTGGGGAGTTTTTGCAGCAATTGCATGACATCTGAATTACTTCTGCTGCATAAGGAGTATAGCTTGACATCTGGTTTGTTGATGACTAGTGTTTAATGATTGTCAAGCGACCGTGGCGCAGGTGCTAGGATGTGTGACTCTTAATCTTAAGGTCGGGAGTTGCATTCCGGCACATAGCAGAATAATTATTGTTCCGACCATTGAAAATGGGGAAGAGCTTTGTATTCGGATGGATTTCAGTAATTTCTTTTTTTTGTGTTCCACGCAAATTCAGCTACCACAAATAATCATCGGACTGGGTTGAGTGATATATCATATTAAAGCCTTTTCAGTCGTCATTCGAACGACATTAAAAAATCCAAAAAGTTTTCCCAGGTCTAGAAAAACCGGTTTGAAATTTAAGATTTTTTCGTCTAATTTCAAGTGAGTGAGCAGGCTTGCATTAGCTTATTTATCCTTCATTTATCCTTTATTTTGAAAAATTTAAAAAATTCTGATTTTTTTGTTTTTGTTATTTGTCTTCAAAAAATGTTTTCCAATTTGCAAACTTTACAATGACTGGCAAAAATGCCCAAGCTTTTTTCACTCAGATTCCTTTATCACACCGAAAAAAATGCTTTAATTTGAAAAAAATAATTTTGTTATTTTTTAAGATTGGTCGGGACGTTCTGTGCTACTTGCACAGTAACCGGCTATCCTTGTTAGTTTGTTTGTAATTTTTATTTGTCTGAAAAAGGGAGATATGCAATCAAGTAGTCAGCATCAAAAAGAACTTTGGCAAACATATGAGTGAAATTCTATTGCTGAACTGCAAAATTCAATTTCATAATTTCAAATCTTGCCATTTGAACAGTGATTTTTGTATGCACCAGACGTTGGTAAAGAGCACTTATTGTGTGAGCATCATACATTGATGAAGACCAGAGTTTCGAGATTTGATTTGTTTAGGTCCTGACCGATGAAGATCAAAGAAAACAATATGATCGATGCGGAGAAGAGTGTCTAAAAGAGGGAGGTAAATACCAAATGGAAATATGCGTTACTAATTTTTTGCCCCCCCCCCCCAAAAAAAAAGGAATAATTTTTCGAAAGATTGTTTTTTTATTCTGATGCGAGTTGACTTGATTTTGTTTCATTGCACAATTTATTAAACGGCACGGTTTTGTATAAGTGACGGATATACTAAGCAATTTGCTTCCTAATTGGTGCTCTTCCAGTTACGCGAATCTTAAACAGAATTTAGAGCACAGCTTGCACATTACGTAATCGTGCTTGCACTCATTGCAAAAATGTCATAAATTGTGTTCACGGCTCCGTTATTGTTGATAGGTGGGGGCAGAAGTGACCCATTTGCCGACTTCTTCAATTTTGGGTTCGGTGGTTTCGGAGGAGGTGGTGGTAGGCAGAACTCGGACACTCCGAGAGGCGAAGATGTGCTCCTGAAAATCACAGTGACTTTGGAAGAACTATATTCTGGCAATTTCGTAGATGTATGTGTTCTTATTAAAGTATTTTTTCACTAGATAACTTCAGCAATCATTTTTGCAAGACCAAATCAGCATGTTTCAAAATATTGGTAGTTATGCGGTTTGTTTTTGGTTTGTTTTCATGACTTATTTTTTTAGATATTTGGAGACAATTTCCATCGTAAGTATCAACTATGATTATAGCATTTTTTGTTAGATCGTGCGCAACAAGCCAATTCCTAAGCCAGCTTCGGGAACCAGAAAGTGCAACTGTCGGAGAGAGATGAGGACGCAGTCGATGGGACCAGGACGCTTCCAGATGTTCGAAGAGACAGTGTGTGAGGACTGTCCTAATGTCAAGTGAGCTGCCAGTCTTCATTTGAGGCGGGAACGCTTGTTCATTTGAAATAGATGCTCAAATTGTTATAAGGAGTCAGATTCTTCAATTTTGATTGACAAACAAGTTTTTTCAAATAGGATAATTGTTCTACGTGGTAGTGCTGCTGTTGACTTACCAAAAAGAATTGTGATATTGAAATTAAGTGTGAAAGGAGGCCAAACTAATTACATGTGATTGATTAATGGTAAAACTCGAATCAGTGAATGCCGTGGTTACATGATCAATAAATGTTTGCATGTGTTAGGCTAGTTAATGAGGAGCGAACTCTTGAGTTTGAGATTCAACCGGGCATGAAAGACCAGAGTGAGTTCCGATGGGTGGGGGAGGGAGAGCCGCACATAGACGGGGACCAGGGCGATTTGATAATCCGAATCCAGACTGCCAAACATGACCACTTCGAGAGGCGGGGAGATGACCTCTACACTAACGTCACTATCTCCCTAACACAGGCGCTCACTGGATTCAACATAGACCTAGAACACCTCGACGGACACAAAGTGAGACTGATCTCCCAAAATTTTTGTAGTCCCTCAAATATAATTGTATTTTTCAGTGATGGAGGGGTTGCTCCTTGATGATATATTGTCAATTAGTAACTGTTTCTACGAAAGTGAGAATATACGTATTTGAATTCGAGTTTTCGCAATTATATCTGAATCGTAGTGTCTAAGAAGAAAGAAAAATGGCTTAATTCCTTTGAAATAATAGCAAACAATGAAATAAATCTGAAAATGAAATAATCAAACTAGCTGTACAAAAACGGACTGAACCTAAACTAACCTAAATTCTTATGAAATTTTTCGTCTCTTTTTATTGTTGTCAGGTTCGAAGGTGATTTTTGTCGAGACATGGATTCACATTAAAGGGCTTGCACATTCTCTTTATCTTGGCGTTTAGGTGTCTGTAATTCGCGAGAAAGTGACGTGGCCGGGAGCAAAGATCAAGAAGAAGGAAGAGGGTATGCCGAACTTTGACGACAACACGAGAAAAGGAGATTTGTACATCACGTTCGACGTCGCATTCCCTAAAGGAGACTTAGACGCAGAGACCAAAACAGGTACATTTGTATAAACAAACAGATAGCCGGTATCTGTGCAAGTGGCACAGACTGATCCGACCAGTCACCAATTTTTTTTTTTCAAATTAAAATCCTTTTTTATGAGCGCGATGATGAGATAACTAATTGATCGCGTTGAAACTTAGTGAGTTGGAAAGAATTGACAACAGTTATCTAAGAAAAGTAACAAACAAACAAAAATGGAATATTAAACTCAAATTAAACCCATTTTATTAGAACAAATTTTACTTTTCGATTTTTTATATTGCCAAGGAAGCCGTAAAGAAAGCCTTGAAAGCTACTTTTCCTGGAAAAAATGAAACATTTTTTTTTCGACAAAAGGAAAATGTTGTACGTTTATGAGTAACGAACGTAGTGAAGACTCTTATATAGGTCTAGATGATTTTTTTCCAGGAAAATTTGTTCACGCTTTATTTTTTCAATTTTCGCGGTTTGGCTTGTGATTTTTTTAAGTTCAATGAATTTCCATCGTTAAGAGAAAGGCAAACTCCACTATCAAACAACAAAAGTTTAAAGGTCACTAAAAACGTGATTGACTTCTACTTTCGAATGTGGAATTTAATTATCAGATTTCCCAGCGAAATAAAATTTTTACATATTGATCCAGTTTTCTCAAATTGAGTATTTTTCTTGAAAAATTGTCAATTATGAATTGTTCTAGGAATTAAGAGGTTTAAAGGCATCTATTTTTGTCTTCGAAATTCGAAGGCTGAGAAGAAGTTTTCTTCTGTTTTTTTGCGCTCATTATCCTTCTCCAACTATCAGTTGGCTATGTTTAAAATGTCGTTAGAATTGCGACTGAAAGTGCTTTAATATGATATATCAGTCGACCCATTTCGATGATTATTTGTGGTAACTGACTTTGGTTGAAAAGCAAAATATGCCTGTTCGCTCACTTTATTCGCTCACTTTATTCGCTCGAAATTCGGTCAAAAATTTCGAAAACAAATTTTTCTCGACATTGAGAAAAGTTTTTGGAAACTTAAAAATCTCGTTCAAATCGCGACAGAAAGGGCTTTACGACCATGTATTACTCGACCCATTCAGATGATTGTTTGTGGTACCTGATTTTGCGTGGAAAACAAAAAAGGGGAAAAATAACACACGCCAGAGTACAAAGTTTATACCCATTTTCAATGTTCTTTCGCAACAACAAGACATTCCAGTTGCTGTTCAAGTAGCACAGAAGGTGTCGACCAAAATTGATTTATAAAACTTTAGTGAAAATCAATCCACGCAAAATCAGGTGCCACAAATAATCATCGGAATGGATCGAGGAATCTATGTTCTTCAGAATGCTTCAAGTTTGGGTTGTTTTTCAGCGTTTTTGACTGCAAAAGAATTTTTGCTATCTGAATAACAATTTTTTTTAAAATTGATTTTTATACTTGCGATAGAAAAAAAATTGCTCAAATTCTTTAAAAAATTTTGTGTTTAAGAGTAATGAACGTAGTTAAGACTCTTGTATAGGTCTTGGTGATTCTTTTTCTGTTTTTTAGGAAAAAGTCTTAAGTGCTCTAATAACTTCAGATGTGCATTCATACATATTAATGCATTTATGAGTGCACTTAAGTATTTATGCACTTTTTAGGTTCAATTGAATTTCATCTGCTGAAAGTTCCGTAAATAGCACTTTCCAAATACGAACGTCGAGAAAAAACGTGAACGATTTCTAGTTTCGAAAGTGGAATTTAATTTTGAGATTTACAGCTGAATAAAAACTTTACCTACTGATCCAGTTTTCTCTAGCTGGGTTAATGTTATCAAAAAAGCGCCAATCAAAAAATCGTTCTAGAAATTCAAAGAACTTACAGGGACTCTATTTTTTTCTTTGAAATTCGAAAGTTTTCAACAAAGTCAGTGTTTTGTTGTTTCCTTGCATTCAATATTTTTTTTCCAACTGTCAGTTTTGACTTTGTTATAAAGTCAAAACTATCTTTTTTTGTCTATCGAACAAAAATAAACTGATTTAAAGATGTTTTGAACAAATACCGTTGTAAAAGTTTGCTGGGCTACGTAAGAGGCTCTGTTCAGTATAAGTATGTCAGTGATCGACCGAGTAGTTTCGCGTAATTTTTGATTGACTATAAAAGCCAAAAATGATCATTTTAGGGTAAACTTTTGGGCCCAAATTTCGCAAAACAAATTGCACCCAGGGCAAATTAAGAGGTATGGGCGGACGCCCCCTCAGGGATTCGACACCCTCACCAACCAAAGGGTCCCCCTTTGCTATTACTGTATGACATCCATTTTAAGTCGACCAACCCTAAATATTTTCTAAAGGGCCTTGGGCGCTTATATATTGTAATTTTGAAGGTGAGCGTGCGCCGATAAAATGCATTTTTTTGGTTAAAAAAAACGGCGTGCCAAAAATGCCCAAAAACGGCGTGCGGCGCAATTTTTTTCGGTCAACATAGGGTCTTTATAGTGTTGTGGGAGTGCGCGGAGAATCAATTTGGTCGACCTAAAAAAGGTCGACTAAGTTTTCTGTAAATCCGCCCCTCCTTTTTATTTTATTTTCGCTTGTTGTAAAATATTATTTGAATTGCATGCATTTTACATTTCTGTCCTAGTGCAGGTAGTTGCTGATTAAATTTTTTTGTTTCAGCGATCAAAAACTTGTTAGGAGGAGTTGACGACAAACCGGTTATTTACAATGGACTCAGATAACTACAACAGAAAAGAAAAACAGGCAAATGATGATTTGTTTTTTGCAACGCTATGCTGGCTGTTTCCATGTGATGCCAACTAGATGGTGTTTTCATATGCCGTTTTTGAAATAATCAGGGACATTATATGATATTCATAATATCGGGTCATTTCGAATTTACTCTTTTAAATTGTGCGTTGAAACGTGACCTCGAGTTTTGTATTTAATTATATTACATTCTTTTACATTTTTCTGGTTTTCGTTTAGCCAATCGTATGAGTTGAGTTGAAAAATGAGATATTTTTCTATTAATGGGATTAAAACTGAAAAGACCCTCCATATCCAAATAATTTAACTGCGTGAATCAATATCGTTTTGAAAATTATGAACAACATGGGTGATTCAGATCGCAAAAGAACGTACCTGGAAATATTCACTACACTGGCGATAAAGTATTATGTATGGTTTTTGAAGCAATTAAAGATTAAATATAATTGTAAAGTATAGATACTTTATTTCGGTACTAGTGATCGAATGCTAATTTCATGTGGTTTGGATTTCTCGCCTTCAATCGTTCGCCCAATTAAGTGCTCAAAAGTTCTCATATGGTGTTCTTTAATAAAAGCATATATTTTCATTATATTTTGAGCTGTATTAATTGTGTTGTTTTTTCCTGTATAGATATGTTTGCTGGATTTTGTCATATCAAATATGAATTTAAAGTAAATTAAAACAAGACTGCATATCAGGGCGAAGCCTTGAATGTTCCGACTGCCTTTTAAGGTCTATGGAGCACAGTAACAAAATAAAAAAATTAAGCGTAATAAATTAAAATGAAAGTTTTTTTCTTCTAAAATTTGAGATTTTTTGTGAAACTCATCCCTTCACACGCCATATAAAGTACAAGCGGATAGACTTTGCACCTAGTAACAAATTAATTATGGCAAATAAGCTTCCTTTAACCAATTTGGAACTATTTTTAAGACGAATTAAATCTCCGCTTGCGAGTTAGTGTTAGTAGCGCGAAATATATCGCGCGTTAATTGTCCTTAACTGGCCAAAATGGCAGTCTTTAAAACCCCATAACTCTACTAAACATGATCACAGGTGAAATATTTTTCAAATTTAAGTTCAGGACAACAATACTTTTTGAATGATTTTTAAAATTCCGTCAGAAATGGCTGGTTAAAAAGTCGAAATTTGAGTGAAGAAAAAAACCACCCCGAGCACAAATATTTCGTTACTTTCGTAACGAAAGTCGGAACAATAAACAAACTTGTCAACAAAAAAGTAAGCGATTGCTAGGTATGCAAGTAGCTTATATTTTAAAGTGGTTACGCTCGCTGACTTTTCAGGTAAAAATTTTCTCTAACAATCACAGAATTTTTAATAGATCGCTTTATGATCAATTCAAATTCCGGGCCTTGTTCTGCAAATGTGGCGGAGAAGACATGCTTTTTTGTGCCCATCTTTAAATTTTTCTTGCATAAAAATTTTCTCATTTTCGTCTTATGGTTTTTTTGTCGGCTTGGTTGTCACAGCAATGTATTTTGTTCCAAAATGTACAATATTTGCTTGTCGAAAAACCTGTAATGTACTTGTGTTAAATTTCAGGTAGTTGAGCGCCAAAAGTTTTTGCGGAAGTTTCAAGCGTAAAAATACGAAGTGATTTTTACGTATACAGCTCTTGATGCTTTTTTGTTAAAAGATTTGATGAACATGGTGAAAATTGTAACGGGTCGTAATGAGTGAAAAGTCTTGAATATTCTCCAATTGTATAAAGAAGTGCATTCATAACAGGTAGTTGAGCGCCAAAAATTTTTGCGGAAGTTTTAAGCGTAAAAATACGAAGTGATTTTCACGTATACAGCTCTTGATGCTTTTTTGTTAAAAGATTTGATGAACATGGTGAAAACTGTAACGGGTCGTAATGAGTGAAAAGTCTTGAATATTCTCCAATTGTATAAAGAAGTGCATTCATAATTGTATAAAGAAGAGCTGAAATGGCTCGAAAAAACGTGATGGATTTCTAGTTTCGATAGTGGAATTCATTCTATGATTTTTTATCGGAAAAAAACTTCAACTTTTAATCAAGTTTTTTTTCTTATTATTTTTATCAAAAAATAGCCAATCATTTTTTTCTTGAAATTCAAAGATTATTTTGAGCCATATTTTTTTTTCGAAATTTGAATGGTCAATTTTTTATTGTTTTTTTTGCGTGCATTGAATCTTTTCAAACCGTCTGGTGGCTTTGTTTTTAAGATTCGATGAACGCAGTGAAGACTCTTGTGTGAGTCGTGACGATTTTCTCAGGAAAACTTAAATTTTTTCACGCAGAATTTTAGTTTTTCGAGGTTCGACTTTTGATTTTTCAATTTGTTAAAAAGAAGGCAAAATCCACTTTGGAACAGAGAAATTAAAAAGTTTCGAAAAACTTGATTTAATTCTAATTTCGAAATGGAATTTAAGTATCAGTTTCCTTGTGTTCATTCATTTCCAGCTGTCAGTTGGCTATGTTCTGAAGTTTTTGTTTTTGACATAATCAAATGGTTGAAATCATGATTTTTTTTATCTTGAATCACACAAATTTTAAAAATGGTTTCACAAATGATTCCTGGCTTGATTTGTTTTTGTCAAATGAGTTTTTGTGAAATAATTCCTACTTTTGATACATTGTGAAGTTTCAATTATCAATGATCGAAGCCATGACGCTTAAGGTTGAATGGATTTTTTTTCAGGAGATAAACTCAAGTTTGGTCAGGCTCAATTTTGATTTTAGCGATTTGATTTTTTATGTCTTTGTTTACACTTGTGCAATGTTTTTTTTTCACACATGTACTTTTTCTTCACCTAAACAACTTTTCTCACAAATCTTACTTGATTTTCGTACTTGCTTTATAAATTATCACTTGGCCTGGAGGTAACGCCGTCGTCTTTGCACCCTAAGATCAGTGGTTTGAGTCGCGGATCGACCCTTTTGTTTTTCCGTAAGTTTTCAGTTGAATTTTTCCTCGGGAGAATTGAATTGCCTCACTTCGTTTGTCTGCTCAAGTTTAAGCAACTTTCATTGTAGTTGCAATTGCAAGTGTTTTTCACTGTTGTTTCAGAGGGGACTGGAAAATTGCTATTTTTTTCTATAGAAGTATTTTTTCGGCTCAAATGGTGTCTACTCAAATATTCGACTAAGACATCAAGGTTTTGCATTTCCTCTAAGTGTGCCCATGTGTTATAAGTTTAATTCGAATTAATTTGCTGGGGGATTATAAATTATGCTCTGCATAAAATCTTGATATTATTTTAAATGAAGGAACTTCTAATCAAGTTTTTTTTCGTATAAGTTTTCTCTTATTAATTTTATCAAAAAATAGCCAATCAATTTTTTCTTGAAATTCAAAGATTTTTTTGAGCCATATTTTTTTTCGAAATTAGAATAGTCAATTTTTTATTGTTTCCTTGGGTGCATTGAATCTTTTCAAACCGTCTGGTGGCTTTGTTTTTAAGATTCGATGAACGCAGTGAAGACTCTTGTGTGAGTCGTGACGATTTTTTCAGGAAAACTTAAATTTTTTCACGCAGAATTTTAGTTTTTCGAGGTTCGACTTTTGATTTTTTCTAAGTTCACTTGCTTTTCTTTGTTAAAAAGAAGGCAAAATCCACTTTGGAACAGAGAAATTAAAAATTTACGAAAAACTTGATTTACTTCTAATTTCGAAATGGAATTTAAGTATCAGTTTCCTTGTGTTCAGTTGGCTATGTTCTGAAATTTTTACTTTTGACATAATCAAATGGTTGAAATCTGAGCTGGGCCTTTTTTTCAAATAGGAAATATTCCGTTTCAAAAAAATTTTCGGCTGATTTATTTGCCTGCTTATGGTTAGTTGTCTCATTTTAGATTTTTTTTTTTGCTGACTGCAGTTTCTTTTTAGTTGATTTTTTTGTTTTCATTTACTCCTGCAATTTGTAATTCTACTAACCTTGACTTCAAATCTTTTCGTTTTTTTTTTACTTAAAAAATTTGTCGGCTAATTATTTTTCTGCTCATCTGTTGTTGGTCTAAATAATGCATCTTGGAATCGTTTTTTTTTCTGATGCGCGCATTTTTGTTCAGTGTTGCTTTTAGTGTTTGATTTACTCCTACAATTTGTAATTTTACCTTGCCTTTGTTTCCTTTTTTTTTAGTTTCGTCAAAAATATTCGTCGGCCCACATTATTTCGGCCTAATTTTTATCGGCTTAATGGCCTAATTTTAGGTCGTTTCAAGGGAAACGCAGTTTTAACACTCCTTTCCTGTTTGTTTACCAATCGGTTTGTTCAATTTTTTTTTTATGGAAAATTATTTCCAATTATATTGGAAAAAATTTAGTTTTTCTAAGAAATTTCATCAATTTTCACAAAAGGGGTATCAATTGAAACACCGCCTACTCCCTTGTGTGCCTGCATACTCCCCCATAGTCTCTTTAACTTAACCCCTCTGTCTACAGCCTTCGAAAAAGTCTGTGGGGGAGTTATTGTTCCATATTTTTGATTTATTTTTGCCTTCTCGAAAACCACCTCTTTCAAATCTGAGTTTTTGGTTGCATTGAAAAGAACGGTATCCCTGCATAAACGACTACTCTCAAATTTTTTTAAACATAATTTTATGGCCCTCGAAATAGCCAAATTTTTGTTTTTTTGAACGTTTTGTGTATCTTTTTGACTTTTCTCTGACTTTTATCATAGATTAAATCGAAAGAACCTTGTGTTGAAAACCTTATTTTATAATTGGCTATACCTAGTTATGGCCTTCAAAGAAGTCAATGTTTTGAAGCTTTGACAGTTTGTTTTGGAAACTTCTTGTCGTTACCCGAAAACTACCGTGCCAATTTTTATGTTACGTTCAATCGAGAAACTCGGTTTTGGCATTGCTCTCTGCTTAAGCGGCCACAAACTGTTTTTTGCAGAAAAAAACTTATGAATTTAGGAAAGTCTTTTGACCGTTTTTAGAAATGTTTTGAATTTTCTTAACTTTAACACAGTCAAATCTAAAATGAAAAGTTTAGTTGAAAGAAACGGTTGCGATAATTGTTCCTGCAGAAGCGGTGACTCCTTAATTTTTTTTCATAGTAATGTTATCTCCTTGAGAAAATTGATTATCTCAAAAGTTTTTACTCTTCTCACTTATTTTAGTACAGAAACAACTAAGGTTTTAGGCAAAGTCCAACTTTTGGTGCCGCATCAGTTTTTGGTGCTGCATCAGTATAGCAAATTCATTTATTATCAAAGACGTGTTCCCAGCTTTAGCTGGGTCCTTTATTCTTTTTTTTCGAGACATACGAATATTTTGGTTCACCTAAACATTTCTTTATCGACTTTGAAATATCGATGTTTTATGTTTGAGTTGTATAGCAAGTTAAAGTCATTTTTTCGGTTTACGTGCTCATTGTCACTTGTTGCCAACTTTATAATGGCTGTGTTTGAAAAGCATGAAACATGTCGCAGTTTTCATAGTAACTGTTTTCGCCCGTGGACAATGAAAACGTGTTTGTTTTGCAAATGAAGCAAAGTTTTGACATGCTTGAGTTAAATTTGCATCTGAGAAATTCAAAGATCACTTGAGCTTTTAACAGCTTGATGATTAACCAGGGTGAACTAAAACGGAGTTGTGAGAGCTTACACCGGGTAGTTCTGATCACATTTATTAAAATCTAAAGGGGGTTTGATTCCAGAGACAGTTTAAGTATCAATGAAAGCAGTGAAGACAACGAAATAGAACGAGACGATTTTTTTTCTGGAAAAATCGCTTTTTTTAAATTGTAGTTCATTTTTTTTTCTGTTTTGTTACAAGAGAGTCAAGCTCCACAATCAAACAGCAAAATTGTAAATTTTTAGATAACCTCGCGAAACAAAAAAGATACTTTGTGATTCGGTTTTATTAAATTGGGTTAATTTAATTTAAAAAAACTGATCATGAATTGTTCTTGAAGTTCGCAGAGCGTTGAAGGCATATACTTTTTCTTTGCAATTCGAAAGTTGAATTGTTCCCTAAAACAAGTCTGTCATTTTTTGTTTCGTTGCCATCTGTTTTTTCTTTAACCAGGAGATCGCGCGTGCAGCACATTCATTCGTCCTTGTAACCGATACAAGACTCCATCTACGAGCTTCATATATGAAAAAAAAAACATAATCAACTCTTGCTTTATGAGATGGGATCTTTTTTCACTTAAGTTGCAACTTTCGGTATTACTCAACTATACTTTCGATTTTTTTTCGAGTGTTTCACGATTTTCAAATCAGTTTTTTTTTCACAAAAATGGTTCCGATTAAAACTTTACCTGAAGTCTTGTTGAAAGCATTATGACAATTTTATCAATTTACCTCAGCAATTTTTTTGTTATACTCTTGGTATAGCTAATCGTTTGGCTGATTTTCAAAATTAGATTTGAGTTATTCATCAAAATTATTGAACAAACAATTCTTTTAATCATCAGAATCATCATCCTGTTGTCTATAACAAAACCGATAATCAACTCTTGCGATATGAGATTATTTCTTTTTTCACTGAAGTTGCAACTTTGGGTGTAAATTGTTTGTAACGCGAAACTTGAAAACTGAACGTGAGATCCTTTTGTACCAACTTCATGTTCTTCTTAAAGTGATAACTAAACGCGCAGATAAGTCTAAGATAAGTTTCAATTAAAGTCAAAGGTTACGCAGGAAAAGTTGAGTGATCGAGGCCGTATGTTGTTTACTTTTTAAATTTTGCTCCCAATTTTTGCATCAGCGAAGTTTGAGCCACAAAACTGATGTAGTCATTGTAAATTTGTAATTTCAGATTGCTTTGAGTAGATTTTATCTGATGAAATTGGCACTGATGAATAATTGATGTTATGAAATCTCCTCGTCTTTCTGCTTTTTACAATGTGTTACTGAATTAAAACGTTTCTAATTGTGGTCGGTAATAATGTTCGAGCATCATATGAATAGCAATGAAACTGGTTTGAATGGATTAGCTCAATTTAATCAGAGTGCCATAGATGACCATAGCAATGAGCTGATTAAATGCAGTGAGGATAGCAATATTGTATCCATAGACAGAAACAGCCTAATTCAGGTTAGAAGACTTTCTAGAGTTACCATATAATAATGTAAAAAGTGATTGTTGAAATCAATCATGACTATTTCGAAATGAGCTCTACATAGAAACAATAGTCTAAATTGTTTATTTGTCCGAAAATATCTTCTAGCGGACACAATTGAGCTAAAATACCTGTTTTCAAGGCTGATTTTGGACAATCACTGGGAATTTAGACAAATTTTTTACATACCAGCAGCAAATCAGAGCTGCCTTTTATGAAATTATTACCCTTACGATAAGCAAGGACATTGCGATCGGGTGCTAGACTTTTTCCCGGAAATAACTTTGTTCACAGAATGGTCAAATTTAGAAATGGCAAATTTAGGTTCATGTCATAGTGAATTCAAATTTCATTGCGAAAAAAGTTTGTCTGTGCGTGTTTGTGTTTTGAGGGTGAGGGGAACTCAATAAATTCTCATTAAATGAAAATTTTTATATTTTTTCAGTTTTTTTATTTTCCTGTTTTTGGGCTTAATAGGTTTCTGACGAGAAAATAAAATTTCTGTGGAGTGTTTTGATGTTGAGGGGGAATAATTAAAATTGTTGATTTTTTTTGGCTTGAAAGATTTCTGCCAAGGTATTTTCGGCTTTTTATTGCTGAATAAATTAGCTTCAGATGCTTATTTCACATTATATTGTCTTCGCATGTTTTTTTTCATAGCTACTTAATTCATTTTGATAGATCTAGTTTTTTCAACATTTTGATTTTTCGTTTTTTTTTGTTGCTTGCAAGTGGTCCGAAGCTCAGCTTTGCTTCTTGTGTCAAAATTTGGTTTCAAAGAGTTTGCCAATGTAATCCGGGTCTGAAAATGCCAGTTTTCACTATCTGCACTATTAAGTTGTCCAAATGCGTGAAAAAAAGAAACAGCTGAGTTTAGTTAAGTTGTCACACAGAATAATTCAATATTATTGCTTAGAATAATTCACATTGCATGAACAACATTTGGCTCTTTTTCCTTTTCCCCCCACCAGCAAATTTTTACATGTAAATTTGTTTACCACATTGTCCAATTGTTGTGCAAACTTACATACATACTAATAAAGCCACGACAAACATATTTGGTCTTCATACTCAACCTCGTAAAACCACTCGTTACACTAATAAGTTGAAACTGGCGTGAGGTGGGGGGGGGGGGGGGAAGGAAAAAGAGCCCAACATTTTTTCCCTCTTTTTTGGGAAAAACTCACCCCGATGCAAAATAGTGCAGATGGTGAAAATTGGTATTTTCAGACTCGGATTACATTGGTAATTCTTTGACCCCAAGTTTTGATGATTTAATACAGGGCAGCTCTGATCATCTGCTCCTGGTCTATATAAAAATTTTGTTTAAATTACCAGTGAAAGTTGCTCAAAATCAGGGGCGGATTTAGGGGGGGGGGGGGGGGGGCGGACGCCCCCCCCCCCTCAGGGATTCGACCCCCTGCCGACCCAAAGGGTCCCCCCTTTGATACTTTTTCAGAAATCCATTTTTGGCGGACCGACCCTAAAATTTTTCTAAAGGCGCCTTCGGCGCCAATATATACTAACTTTGAGGGGGAGCGCGCGCCAAAAAAACGAAATTTTTTAGTCAAAATTTTTCAAAAAATGCCCAAAAACGGCTTTTTGACTGTTTTTTAAAAAATTTGCCTGCGGCGCACAAAATTTTTACCAAAATAGGGGCAAAACAGTGCTTTGGGAGAGCTCGAAAAATCAATTTGGTCGACCTAAAAAAAAAAAGGTCGTCGAAATTTTGGAAAATTTTTCGAAAATCCGCCCCCCCCCCCTCGAGAAAATCCTAGATCCGCCCCTGCTCAAAATCACCCTTGAACACAGGAATTTTAGAGAGAAAAAAAACACCTGAATTTGCGCTTAATTTGTTCTCTAGTATAATTTGCTGCTGAAAATGTGAATTGGCAAAGTTAATTTGAAAGTGTGATTAATTAAACGATTTTGACTATTTCACGTGCAAATTATCAGATTTCAGGTGGCCTTGAGCTAAAAATTCGGGAGGAAAAAAGGTGTAAGGTGTTCGCTTGCAGTTTATTCGAAATAGGCCGAATTTTCAATAACTTTGTAAAACCGCCTCTATTTATAACAGTCTGCTTGTAACTATACTGTTTTTATCTGCTGTCATGTCATAATGACCTTGTGACGCGATTGATTAATTTGTAGCAAAAGAATATTTTAATTTATTATCTTATTTTGTGTTGTTTGAATTCAGGGTGTTGAGTTGGATTGTGTGGTGTATTTGGTGGGCGGCGAGAACAAGTTCGGATTCTCTCTCTTCGGCGCTAACAGTGCCAGTCGCTTCCCAACTGTCGACGGAATATCTCGCAGTAAGTCAGGTCTGAACATGTCTATTATTATGGTAGGGCGACAATTCGTAACAGGCGACAATTCGTAACAAGGCATTGGCAAGTAGAATACACTTCCTCCGCTGCGCTTACATCCGGCACGAGTGGAATACTGCACGTGAATCACTATTCCCCGCTTAATCTTCTATTACGAATTGTCGCTTGTTACGATTTGTCGCCTGTTACGAATTGTCGCCTCACGTGTTATTACATCAGGCGCAAACAAACAGTTGCACTAATGTAGGAGCAGGGGTGGTTTAATGGAGGGACAATGGTTCTACCGAAGCGCCATTTTTTGCATCAGTTATATAAAAAGCAAGTTTTCCGAAATAAATGTTTTCCAGGCTGTCTGTGAACTGCGCCCATTTTAGGAATTCGTTTGACAACCTTAAAAACTGCCCCTGTTTCAAACTTCAAGTGTATAAAAATTTTTTCTTCAATTCTCAAGTCTCAAAAGTGAATTGAAATTTTTCACTTTGAAACTTGACATGCATAAGTATGCATTTTTAAAAGTGTGTCCGGGGTTATCGATTAAATGAAAATTACACGGAATCTCAATGTGATTCAATTCCTTTTTTGTGTTGAAAAATTACGGCTTTGAGAAATGGGTGGAAGTATGCGTCAGAAAGTGAACGTAATGTGAGCATTGTTTGATAATATTTTTAACCGAATAATTACAAATATATTAGTATAAATAGCCTAATTTTGTTCCAAAAACCGTTTGATATCACAAATGGCTTAAATCAGCATTGTACGTTTTTAATATAGACTTATTTTTTGGACTTTTTAGTTATTGTCTTCTGAGATTTTGAAATATATGTCTTTGCTTCCAGAACTATAATTTGAAAGGTACGTAATTCATAAGTTCAGTTTTGGTCACTGATTGGTAATCATGCCGATAATTAGGTCTGAACTAACCGTAGATGATCATTATAGATCCCAAAACTCACGAAATGCATCGCTCTTACTAATCAATTTATTTAAATTTTTTCATATGATTGTACTTTTACCGTGATCATCTTTAATCAATAACATTTATTCAATATGACTAACAGGAATGAAAAATTGCTCACTATTTGACCCCGCCTACCTTTAATTTATTCTAAACCCGATTTCATAAGTTTCCATTACAGTACCATCTTATTTACAAAAAAATAAAACCCAACCACCGAAGAGTTTTAGATTTTAGCAGTGGTTATTTACACATACATATTTGATTTTTTTTAGTTCACCGTTTATACCATCTGAAAGATTAATACCAAGAGCTGAACTAGAATAGGATATTTCACCCTTAATTAGTTTTAAGAGTAATGAACGTAGTGAGTACTCTTATATAGGTCTTGCTGATTTTTTTTCAGGAAGTCTTAAAATTTGCTCACGCTCAATTTTGATTTTTCGCGGTTTGACTCTTGTGATTTATGTTTCAGTTCACTTAATTTCCTTTATTAAAAGGAAGGCAAACTCCACTATCAAACAGCAAATTGTAAAGGTCACGAAAAACGTGATGGACTTCTAATTTCGAAAATGGAATTTAATTTTCAGATTTCTCAGTGAAATAAAATTTTATCTATTGATCCAGTTTTTTCAAATTGGTTAATTATAACAAAAAAGGGATCAATCGAGCAACCTCCCCCCGTATTGACCAATTGAGCTATCTCCCCCCAAGCAAAAACTAAGACACCACAAAAAGGCGCCAACAAACGCAATTAGATGGTTGATGTGTTTATGGCACGCAATCAATTGATCGACTGAAGTTAATTTTATATGAGTATCGAGAAAAATTTTGAAAAAGAAAAAATTGAAAAAAAAACTTATTTGCAAAATTTTGTTTGGGCGACTCATGCCTCTCATTGAGGAAAACGAGTATCAGGCTTGGTGCTCTGAACTTGTATCTGAATACCAAAAAAGCTCTCTTCAGCACCTTACTATTATACGCAATAGTTTTTTTTTCATTTAGGACAGAAAAAAGTCGCTTTATGTGCCTCAGTTTTATTGATTTTGTTTTCACTCTGAATGTATTTATTGAGCTTTGATATTGTAAAAGTTGGCGTTCCATACTCGTTGGAGAATCTCGTTCATATTATCATATCATTCAAACTATTTTCAAGTGGTTATAAACATGCCTGAAGTACTTATTGAGCTGTCTCCCCCCCCCCCCCACGCGAGAATGGGGGGGGGGGGAGGATTGCTCAATTGATCCCCAAAAAGTGTCCATCATAAATTGTTCAACAAATTTAAAGAGCTTTAATGCCATTTATTTTTTTCTTAATTCAAAAGCTGAAGATTTTTGAAAAAACAAGTCAATTTTTTTTTCAGTTTTTTGCTTTCATTACTCTTTTACAACTGGGTTTGAAACTCGCCATTTTGCTGACTGAAATGCGGCAAAATATTCCGGCTCAGAAATTATTCCAAAGTGAATTTAGGCACGCTAATTGTTCCAAGTAATGTGTGATGAATTTGAAATAAAAACTCTGTACTTGAAATTGGCTATGAGAAGATTTAAAATTTATCCATTTTTTCATCGTTTGAAAGTTTTTTCGATAATTTTGACAAATATTTACTTGCGGCTCCTGAAAAGATAGTCTGTCGAAACATTCAGGCTTCGCCCTGATACTAGCCATTTTTTTGTATTTCCGAGCACAAGTGTGTTAGAGGGGTCCAAAGAAATAACCGGGTCCCTAATCTACTCAAAATGCTTCAAAATTGTTCAATTTATCGCTTCGGTGATGTCAATTTAATTTGGGAAAATTTGGGAAAATATCTGAATCGACCGGCTGGCTCATATTGATTTATTAATTTCTGTGATTTGTGAACCCTTTCTCACACTTGGTTTTTACCGGAACCCCTCTCTCACATTTGTACCATTTTTCGGTATTTCAGACAGTGCAGTATCACGTGCGGACGTGCGAGTGGGGGACGAAGTATTAGCAGTGAACGGAGCCACTCTCCGCCACTCTACTCACGAACACATCATCACATCCATTCACAAGGTGAGCCAACTATCTACTTCCTATTCTGCTAAAACTAAATAGGCTCTTGTCCCATAATAGACCTCCCCCCCCCAAAAAAAAAACATTTCTTAGAATGTCATTGAGGCCAGCCTCCGTTGAATGCCTATGACATCTAGCGGCTCGTTTCCATTAAAACACCCCAGAAAATTACGGCACCACAGATACATGAAAACTGTAGTGGTGGGGCTACAATTTTTTTGGTTGCTAGACTAACAAAGCAATTGAAGCCCCATCACTGTAAGGTTTTAAGAGTCAATGAACGCAGTAAAGACTTTTATATAAGTCGCAATGGTTTTTTTTTTCGTTTTTTCAGGAAGTCTTAACATTTGTTCAGGCTCAAATTCATTTTCCGCGGTTTGACTTTTAATTTCTTTTTAAATGCAGTTCATTTCATTAGCTAAAAGGAAGGCAAGTTCTACTATCGAACAGCCAAAGTGTAAAGATCACGAAAAACAAGATCGGCTTCTAGTTTCGAAAGTGGAATTCAGATGTCCCAGTGAAATGAAAAATTTACCAATTGATCCAGTTTTCTCAAATTGGGCCAATTTTTATCGAAACAGAACCAATCAAAAATGGCTTTAGAAAATCAAAGAGCTTTAAAGGGCATCTATTTTTTTCATTGAAATTCGAAAGTTAGCATGTTAGCTATGTTTTTTTTGGGAAAAAAACTTAAAATTTTATCACGCTCAAATTAGTTTTTTTTGTGGTTTCTTATTTGATTTCTTCTCAAGCTCAGTTCATTTCATTTGCTAGAAAGAAGACAAACTTCACTATCGAATATCGAAATTATAAGTTTCACGAAAAATGTGATTGATTTTTATTTCCGAAAGTGGATTTTAGTTTTCAGGCTTCTCAGCGTAATTAGTCTTGCGATAAGCAAGGGTATTGCAATTGGTTACTAGACTTTTTTCCCATAAACAACTTTGTCTACTGGGCTCATCTGGACTCGTGGTAACTTGGTTTATAATGAATTCAAATTTTTAGTGTCTACTGCAAAAGGTCTCAGGTTCGAATCTGACTAGGACATGATTTTTAAACGGTAAATATCCCGGTTCTAAAAAAAATCGGCCTATAATTTGTCTGCTTATGTTTCGTCGGCTTAGTTGCCAGATCTATGAATCGTTTTTGTTTCGGTAAACATTTTTTCCTTGAAATTGCTTACAATATTTTAGCATTTTAAAAATGTGGCGGAATCGAAATTTGTTTTTAATTAATATTGGTTGTAATTTTACAAACTCGATTTCTCAAAATTTCTTTTTTTCTAAATTTTTTATCTGGTTAATAAGTTTAGGCTTAATTTACATCGACCTAGGGGCCTCTTATTGCGTCGTTCGGGGATCGTGTGTGTGCTCTGAGGGCGTGCGTGTGCTCTGAGGGGAAAAGGGACATCAAATTTTTTTATTAGTTCAGATTTTTTTCAATGTTTTTTGGCATGAAAGGTTTCTGCTCAGGTAATTTCGGTTTTGTTACCACATTGTAATTATAATTTCAATCAATCATCCGGCAACTATGGCGTAGAGGTGACACAACTGTTTGAGACTGCTTTTTTTATTGATGATTTTTCATTGACAAAAACAATTTTTTTTTCAAATTTTTTCGATTGATTTTAATCACATTTGCATCACATGTGGTGCGAAGCTCAGCTTCGCCTCTGTGTATATAATTCAACTAATGACCAGGGAGCGGAAAAAGTAAGTATTTTTTTAAGTATCTTAATTAAGTTTAAAAAAATAGATGAAAACATATCATTTTGCGTTAATTTGCCCCCAAAAACTGCATTTTTTTTTAAAAAAAAGAACCATACACTGGAGTTTGTGATGAAAAAATCAGCCCACTTCATTTATGCGTGGATGAAATCCTAAGTTGAAACATTTTTTCAATATTTTGAGGCAGAAACTGCGTGATTGTCAGAGATGACAGAAAAAGTGAGAATGTGTTGCTTTATGCGTTTGTAGGACAAAATTTGAAGGTTTGTTTACTTACTTTTTCAAGAAAATTTTGCCTCCAAAGAAACTTTAAAAAGTACTTTTTCTGGCCAAAAATTTACTTTTTTTCCATCTCTTTGCTAATGCTCCATTTTTCTTAAGTGTACTGGAAGTTCAAAGAGCTATAAGGCCATGATTTTTCATTTTCCTTTTTCCAACTTCATTATTGGCTAGTTTTTGAGAGGTGCTTTGGATGAATGGAATTAAGTATCCCATGTTTTAGGACAAGAAGCTGACAGACATTTTGGTTCATTTTGGCCATATTTATGTCAATGCTGAAAAAAATGTTCTGTCATGCTTTGAAGATTTAAAGCGAAGGTATCTTGACCCCTGCTCGTTGGCAGTGGGTGACGTAACAATTATCAGCACAGAATAATAATCAAAAACTATGACCAAAAAAATGCTCGTTGGTCTTAATTAGGGGGCACAACAGCGGTTCTGCGTAAACAGCCGAACAGCTCCTGCGTTGGCTTTTTCACATGTGGATGAATAATGATTTCTTCTCCACTTCGCCTCCATTTTCAATTTTTTTTTCTAAGTTAAGTTTTATTGTGGTGGCTAAATTATTGTCTTCAAAGTCGGATTGCCTTCAGAATTCGTGAAGTGGAATTTAGTTTAAAGAGCTCTAAGGCCATCTATTTTTTTCGAAATTCAAAAGCTTGAAGGGCACCTATTTTTTCTTTGAAATACGAAATCTGCAATTTTGCAAAAAACAAGTCATTTTTTTTCTGTTGACTTGCGTTCATTGACTCTTTTCCAACGGTCTGTTGGCTATGTTTGAGAAGTTTTCTTGGCTCGGTTTTAGTTTTGTCATAATGCTCATCAGAATTGATCCAAAGTTGCGGGACCTCCCTGTCCCTGATATTTTTGAAACGTCTTTTTTGTTCAAAAATAACACCCTTCACCCCAGATCCCGTAATTTTCGATCCCCAGCAAGTTACGTTTTGCCTTGTATCCTGTTCAAATTTACAGGACACTTATGGTGACTCATGTTTTAATAAGTTCTTCAATAGCGAATGAAAAAAGTTCTGCCACCGAGTACTTTAATATCCGATAAAGTCACTCACTTGGAAAAATTTAAACCAGCAGTACACATCTACTGTAAATTACTCAAAACCACGCTGAGAGACGCTTAACTAATAAGCATAATAAAGGAGCTGATTATCAGTTTAGCTACTATACTCCTGACGAATCATTTCGAGACAAGTTTGGCTCTGGATTCTTAAAAAAAAACTTTTATCCACTTAGGAAAGGAAATGCCAATGGATGTTGATTCCATTTCATTGCCTGGAATCACTGTAGTACTTTTTGGTGAAACAGAACCACAGGAAATATTTTTGTAGTTTTCTCATTTTGTGCCATTTGGCTTGTCATTACACATCAATCGAATCTTGGCTCCTGTCTGACATGAAATTTTGTAGTGACTTGACAACAGTGCGTGAAGTTAACACTGAATTGGTCTGATCTGCTACACTGAAAAGTGTTCAGAACCATTTGTAGTTAAGAGTTGGCTTCGAAGCGTGGGATGAAGAGATGGTTTAATGTTTGGTGTTAGTTTACATTGGCACAGCACGTTTTCTTCATCACCCCTCCCCCCTTTCCCCCACCTTCCTAGATAGCTTCTTTACTTGCCTTACATATACAAATGCACACTGTTAATATGAGCAAACATTTCCTCATCTTTTACTCAGCTTCGCTTGCGTAGTGTTCGAACATCTCCATTGATCTTAAACAACCAGAAAAGAACAATCGTTCAGCCAACTAGGAATTACCAGAGAAATTTTAGTGATGCCTATCTAAATTCTTAAGTTACCATTACTCTGTACAAAAAATGCTCTGTGTTGCAGCATTGAAACGTGATAAAAATACCAAGTGATAACGACGAGAAAAATTAAGTTAGTTGCTTAGAAAGAAAGAGAGAAGCATAAAGGAACATGCCATTGTTTCAAATATAGGAGATTGACAGTAAGTATCTGAACTAATATGTCACATTCTTCGGATTGATGCTGACTCATTTTCAGTTGGAAATACGAAGCCAGAAGAAGCGATCTAGTCCGCGCATTTGGTTAAATCGTTACATGGTCTTGATTGTAAATAAACACTTTGGAATTCATTCTTTTGCTAGTCATAGTACTGTAAGTCAAGAGACACTTTTCAACGATTACGTTGATTAAATCAGGAATCCAATTCGTTAGCTTACTAAATCTGTATTTATTACCGAGCCACTTTGATTCTCCATCATCATCGCGACTTCACTGGCCAAAATAAATTTCCGTTCTGTAAATTTGAAAATATTACACGTGATGGAAATTATGTTCTTGTTTAGAGCATCCAAAACAGAGAACTAACGTTGAGACTAAAGCGACCAGCTGAAAGTTTTCCAACTTCGAAAACAAATCAATTAGGAGCTATCAATTTAGTATCCGAAGAAGACTCATTACCAGCTAGAAACGTTTTATCAGTTCCAGTCTATAATAGTTTAAAGAGCCAACTCCAAACCACCTCCTTTCCAGACAACGAGACCAAATCAGAAGATATCGAACCAAGTTTTTCAAGTTTCAAACCAAGACGACCTTCCATCCAACTTCACACGCAAGAAAAGTCCCTCCCTTGCCAAGGTGAGTTTTTCACTGATCTAGGAGAAAAAAAAATAAAATATTGCGTTTCATTAGAACTCAACTTAAAACGAAACTAATTTAAATTAAAATGGAATTAAATTTTATAGTTTTGCTTGGAACTTCTGTGGCTGTTTTGAACCATTTTCTGGTTCTTTTCCAGTTCCCCCCATTTTTTCTGAAATTCAATATATGAAAGTCTTTTTTTCAAGGGCTTTTAATGTTACAAACGGCATTAAAACGTGTGAGTCTGATCAAATGAACAATTTTTACGACATTTTTACGTGCAAAATGCCGTGTGAACAATTTTTGAACCGTTTCATTCTGTAATTTTACGAGGGGGGTGGGAAACTGGAAAAAAGCACATATTCTGTGTTTTTTTATTATATAATTAATTTTAAAATCAAAGAATTAAACGCTGTATGTTGTTCTAAAAGCTGACCTAAAATTAGCCGATGATTTAATCGGCTACTTGACTAGTTTTGGCAAATTTTTGTGCTAAGTTCGAGTTTTACATGCTGTAAAACACATTGTTCGAGTGCTTTTTTGAAACGTGTAAGATGTTTTGAGGGGGAGGGTTCTCATACTTGAAGGACCGAATGCTTGAAAAATTCCAACCAATCAAAATCGCTAAGCGTTTCTATTGGCTGAATGTCTTTCTCACAAAATCGAAGTCAAAATTAACAGAAAATGTATTAAATCAGTGGAAAAAAATCAAAAATATTACAAATTGCGGGTTACAACCGCAATACTATTCAGATAATCATCAAGATTGATGAGGTCAAAATCATACGAATTTTTCCGTCTTGAAAATTCATCTGCTTATTATCTAATCGGTCAATATTAACACTAATGGCCTGAATTTATTTTCTTATTTTGAGATTTTCGCAATTTATTTTGAGATTTTGAATACTCAATTCTGATTGGCTGAAAGTAAGCTAAATTTAATTTCAAGCATTCGGTCCTTCAAGCATGAGGGACGCCACCGTTTTGAGCTTGTGGTCTTTGAAATGAGGTTTGCGCTTTTAAGCGACGGATTGAAAATGTAGTTCTAACTATGTATTGCATATTTGAAACCATTCGAGTAAAGTGGCACAATATCTTTACTGAATTTTAATTGGCACTTCAATATTAGCTGTTAGTTTGTCTCGGTTATTAGCAGTTCGTTTACAACCAGTATTTTACAACATATAATCAATTTATCATCTTGCGAAGCTCTGATGCAATTTAAGGTTGATAAAAATTCTACTGACAGCTGTGCCGTGAGTAAAAAATAAATTTTCTCTTTGTTAATGCAGGAACTGAACGTTCGCGAACTTAGGTCGCGTTGTTTTTTTTGTTTTTTTTTCAGGAAAAAAATTAGCTTACGCTCTGTTTAACTCTTTGGCTCTTTGAGTTTTAAAGTTTTGCTGTAAGGTAATTTGATAAATGGCAGGACGTTACATTTTCAAATAATAAATGTAAAAATGGCGCAAAAATTGTTCTAAATGCTGTCTAATAATTCAGAAGAGTCGATGATAAATTCTTTGCGAACTTCGAAGAGTTTTTAGATTATGTATTTGAAATCTTAACTTATAAATTAAATGAAAGTCTTTATGAGCTCTGGACGCAACGTTTTTACTTTTATATCGAGCACAATGTTTAAGAATCAATCACAGCTACCATCAGAGGAAGATGAACTCGATCCAACTTCTAGGCTAGACAAGTAGCTGCCTAATTTTGTCCAAAATTTTGTATTTACAGATTCATTTCAGCCTGAAACGAATCAACTAAAAACAGCAACCTCCATGTTAAGAAAGATTTTTTTGCGAACCGATTCAGTCAACGAAATAAATTGAAATACTTAAACGTTTCATAGCTTAAAATGCTTGCTTAAAAAAAACTTTTAGCTTGTCGCGAACATATTCCGTCCACGAAATAGCTTGAAATATTTCAAAGTTTCATAGCTTGAATAGTTTGCTTCGAAAACCTTAAAGCTTTTCGTGAACCAATTCAGTCTTTGAAATAATCTTAAATAATTCGAAATTTTAGATCTTCAAAAGCTTGCTAAGAAAAACTGAAACTTTTTGCGAACCGATTTGGTCTACGAATTAACTTGAAGAAAATCACAATTTCATAGCTTGAATAGATTGCTTAGAAAACTTAAGGTTTTTCGCAAACTGATTCGGTTTATGAAATATTTTGAATTTCTAACTTGCTTAGCTCTAATAGCTTGCTTAGAAAACTTCAATTTTTCGGGAACTGATTCGTTCTATGAAACCTTAAGTTTTTCAAACCGATTTACAATATGGCTTAACGTGAAATTGTTCAAAGTTTCATTGCTTGGATAGCTTGATAAGAACAACAATTTTTCTTGCAAGCAAATTGATTATTTGAGACGGCCTTGCTAGTTTGAGATAAAACTAAACCATGTTTTTGGTTTAGAGTTTTTTAAAAATTTTTTAAACCCCTGGCCCAGCTCCCACCTTTCAACCCTGGACCTTTTTTCCGTGGGCGAAGGAGATGTCATCTATTTTGCCGCGGCCGGTCCCTCCTTGAGGAGGCAGATCTTCATCGAGGGCATTATAGTTCTGTTTCAACTGTATGCTGGCTTCGTTTTAATTTATTTGCGACAGCGAAGATTTAAGCCCCGCGATGCGTTTTTTTTCGTGCACCAAATTGTCAAATTTGCCACTTTTTGGTAAAAAACGGCTCTGTGTTTTTTGGGTGATTTGAAAAGATTTTAGCGCCTTTTTTGGTTTGATATTTTCATTGAGTATCCTGCCTTTTGTTTGCCCATCGCCCTAATTCTTCCTCTCTACCTTGCTTCCATGGCGGATATAAATCTCATCCATTTCACCGTAGCTGGTCCTAGCCTTGAGAAGGCGGGTGATATTAGGACTCTCCAAACGTCATCGAAGTGGGATTCGAACCAGCGACCTTTAATTTTTAGCCAATCGAGTTGAAAATGATCCTCTTTTGCTTTGTTTCCTGACCTTGTTTGTCAACTCTCTTGAGAGGGATAAAGATTTCGACGATATCTCAAAAGCTCGATTAAACTCAATAAATCTTTTCGTTTTCGTCTAAAGGATAGAGATATTTTTCAGTGCTTGATTGCCTTTTCTATGTAAAAGTTATTAAGAGTAATGAACGTAGTGAGTACTCTAATATAGGTCTTGCTGATTTTTTTTTTGATTTTTTAATCAGGAAAAAGTCTAAAAATTTGTTCACTCTCAATTTGGGTTTTTCGCGGTTTGATTTGTGATTTCGTATTATGTTCAGTGCATTTCGATTGTTAAAAGGAAGGCAAACTCCACTATCGAACAGCAAAATTGTAATGGTGACGGAAAACGTGATCGACTTCTAATTTCGAAAATGGAAATTAATTATCTTCAGAAACTATCATCAATGCCTAAAATTGTTTTCCCGCGCCTAAAATTTGGTTGTCAATTAACGCAAGGAAAACGAAAAAAGAAACGGTTGCTGTGCCTTTTTGCTGAATTCGTTCGCATTTTCTAATGAAAAACTTAAATGAATCTGATCTTTGACTTTCAATTTTTGGATTCTGTTTTTGTGAGTTTATTGCAATTGTAAGTGTCTTGTAATCCGGAACTAGACTTTTCTTGTAAACAACTTATCCCAAAACTCAACATCGGGATATTGAAACTACTATCCGGATCCTTGCCACTTGACTTAGAGGGAAAGCGGTTGCCTATACATACTTTAGGCCTGGGGTTTGAATTGCGACATCTTGATGAGTTTATCGTTTTAAAATTCAACTCTGTCTGATTTGAAAAATTTGTCTTTTGCAAACCTGAATACATCTAACTCCTATCGGTTTGCTCTACAATCAAGCTCTTCGTAATTGCACGGATACAGCTATTCGGGTTGGTATGATTCTCAATGAACAAAAAAACAGCTAAATGAGTTTTTTGTTTTGGAGGTTCTGTCAGAAATAACTGAATTGAGAAAAAAATGTGATATGAAATTTTTGATATAGTTGTGCAGAAATGGTTTTGTTATTACACTTGCGAAGTGAGTGTATTAGCTTGAATTTTTTTTGCAACCTAAGTCGCAAGTATTGGTGCAGCACCTCAATAATGGTGGAGTACCTTAAAAGCTGTTTCCTAGAATGCGCTTTGTCTTTTGAATAGTAATAAGTTAACGAAGTTAATGCATTTTAATTTATCGAATGAACTGAAAAAAAAGTGATTTGATTCAAACAACATAATCATAATAACTCGATTTATGAAATTTTCTAACTCAATATATCTTGCAATTTTTTGAAATGCGTAATTTATTCATAACGTGGCTTTATGCTTTTCGATTTGTTACATGCAAAGTTAGTCTGGATGCCTTCAGTTATATTCCAAATTATCAAGTGCAAAATTGCTTCTTTTTGTTTTCGGTGTCTTTTTGGCGAATGGCCTCTTCATTCATGATAAGTATTTGTCGGTTGTTAAGCTTGTGCCGCTGAGTGGATAGTGCGTGAGACTCAAAATCTCTTGATTGCAGCAGTTCGCAGATTCGAATCCTACACGTAGCCGATTTTTTGCTAATTCGAATCTGATTTCTACTTTTTCTTATTTCACTTGATAGAGCTGCTTTTTAGCCGACTTCTGGCAAGTGTTTGCGAAGCGCAGATTCGCCTCTGTGTAAAAACTTGCTTATTCTTATTTAATGCTAAGCCATATTTTTGTACATAAGTTTCTCAATAATTTTATCATCCTTGCGATAAGCAAGGGTATTGCAATAGGATGCTAGAATTTTTTCCCGTGAAGAACTTTGTCCTTAGAATGATCTCCCATTTCAAGATCTCCATTTTCAGCACGTTGCACTCTGAACTGCAGCAGTCATTTTTCTGTTGAACACTGCAACAGACATATTTTAGCATGTTAGCAAATTTGAATATCCGTTTTCTTCGAAATTTGCTTTTTAGGTTGGTTGTAATTTTACGAGCTTGTTTTTTTTGTTTCATTTTTTGAAATTTTTTCTAATTTTTCGTCGGGGTGTATTGAAGGAGA